CAGTCCTTTTGCAGGCGGTCCCATCGACTTTGGTGGCCGGATGGCGCCGTTCCGTCGTCTGGAATGTGCGATCGTCGCACAGCGCAAAGAGGGAGAGAGAGAGAGAGAGAGAGAGAGAGAGAGAGAGCTGAGGGGGGGAAAAAAAAACCCCAATCTGGGACCCACCCAGATTTTGACTATTTTAAACAAATTTTCAAATATCCAAAATGCCCTTTATGTTTTCAGACCTTTCCTCCTTCATTATCATTTGGAATCAAGCGTGCCACCTGTCTACAAACCCGTTTCGATGAGCTCTACTCAACGGTGCTTGCTTCATAATTCCCAAAAATCCTTTCGGACAAAAAAAGTGACCAAAACACCCTTACCCTTAAGGGCAAAAATGTAATTTCACAATTAATAATTAAATAATAATTAATTTGGGTCGGGATGTTACACATTTAGTTAGGGTTCAATTTATATTACATTGTTTGGCCATATTTGTTTTTAATTTGCAATATTAAAGAAATGACCGAGTATACCTTGCTACTCCTATCTCAAGCAACTTGATATGCTCTCATATAATAGGCAGCTGCCCTCATTATTTGAAATGTGAGCTAAAGTTTTTTTATAATATTTTTTGTGTTTATGAAATGAACGGGTTAAAGGGATATGGATAAATCTTGGATGCATGAAGATAGAAGAAGTAAAGAGTATGAAGATGGGGTTGAAGAATTTCTAAGGATAGCATTAGCGAATGCTATTGATCATAGGCGCATTCATTGGCCATGCCATAGATGTAGGAATACAAGAAAGTTTACTATTAGAGTAATAAGGGAGCATTTGTATTTCAATGGGGTTGACCAAACCTATAAGGATTGGATATGGCATGGCAAGTCATGTTGCTATTTCGTGATGAGATACATGAAGGAGATTTGTGAAGTTTCCTCCCTTTGATTTTGAAATAAGTTACTTATGGAAATTATGCAACTTATGTTTTTTGGACTATAATGTAATCTGATTTTGGAATGTGGTAATTTGTTCCTGCGTTAGAGGCTTTTGCATTTTGTGTTTGTGCTATATGCATTAAACCAATTTTCATGAAATATTCTTACATTTCTATTATGTTAAATGAAGTGATATACGTTATCCCAAATGTAGAATACTCACAGTAATGCATTTGTCTACTTTGCTTCACATTGAGTAACTAGACTCAATGATGAAGCCTGATCATAGTACATATAAACTTTGCATAGTCCTAAATAAGCTTCTAGTGTGTGAACACCTAATTTTAAATATGCCTTTTGTGTAGCATAAAATCCTATATTTGCAAATAACCAGTTGTTTAGAGAATGAGCAATGTGAGTCTGTGTTTTTTTTGGTAGCTGGGTCTATGTTAATTAAGAAGAAATGCTAGATGTGCTTGTCCAACTCTCTACCCCATCACATGATCATTTAATTGCTAGTTGAAACATGAAGTGGGATCTATTTAATGACTTCTTGTTATCTAATTAGATTGGCTGACAAATTAGATTTTCATGTTCACCAATATGATTTGGTAAATTTGCATATTGGTTAATTTGAAGTGACAACATATCTTATGCAAATTTAGTATCTTACACTTTTTAAGCTTATGTTCATATTACACATTGTTTGTGTTTACATTCTACATGTTTTTTGTTTTCTCTTTTCAATATAGAGCTAGACAGAAGGACACGTACACCCAAATGGAATTGGATGAGTTGCGAGAAGAATTGGCAACTCATGTCCTGGAATGGCTTTTTGATTGACCTAAACATTCCTTCATTTTACATGTCTTTCTAGCTAGTATTTTGCTTATATATAGACAATTATGGATATATTTAAATTACTATTTATATAATTTTTTTTTTTGTGAGCAATGGCAACACAACATGATTTGGAAATTATGCTTTTTTGATGTACTAAGACATAGCGCTTGTTTCAAACCATAGATTGATTTCTTCAGTTTGCATACTAACTGCTCATTGTCTTATGCTACAAATCCTTCTAGTTGCTGCATAAAGATCTCCTCACTCAATTCATCATTTAGAAAGGATGTTTTTACATCCATTTGATGTAAGAACATATCAAAGTGTACCACAAGTGCCATAATGATCCTAAAGGCATCTTTGGTTGAAACTGGTGAGAAAGTTTCATTATAAACGATTCCCTCTTGCTGTGTGAAAGCCTTAGCTACTAGTCTAGCCTTATACCTCTCAATATAGTCCTTCGAGTCTCTTTTGGTCTTGAACACCCACTTACACCCTATACGCTTCATTTCTTGCTGCAACTCAACTAGCTCCCGCACATTATTGGCTTTCATATACTCCAGTTCACTTTGCATTTTCTCAAGCTATTTTTCAATATGTTCACTAGCTATAGCCTGCTTGTAACTCAGTGGATCTTCAAAGTCACAATCCTCAATGTCTATTTCATTCAAATAGACAAAATCTGGCATTGTATTGGTCCTCATTTCCCATGTGGATCTTCTAATATGGTTGTGGTTCTATAGGCATCTGTTCTTCATTCAATTCTTCTTGTATATCTCCAACATCTTGTTCTTCATTCCTAGGCTCAATTGGTGCCTCCGTTTGTGACAAGGTTTGAGTTAATGGATAGGTTATAACTGGACTGCTTGCATTGCAAGGTTTGGTTCATATTTCTCATTCTTCTTCAAAAACAAAGTTCTTGTTTGCCCCTTCACTGTCCTCATCATACTCTAGAAATCTAGCCTTCCTTGTCTCAACACTTATATTGGTGTGATTGGGACAATAGTAACAAAATCTCTCTTCATATCCATTGAACCTGCAGCTCACAGTCTTGGGATCTAATTTTCCCAAGTCTAGATTGTAAACCTTGGCCTCAGCTTTACAACCCCATATATGCATATGATTTAAGCTAGGATTTAAGCTAGGCTCCCTCTTGTTCCATAGCTCAAAAGGTGTCTTAGGCACTGACTTACTTTGACACCTATTTAGGATATAGTTAGTTGTCTTGGTAGCATCTCCCATAGAAACCTTGGAAGTTCTATTCCTTCTTTCAGATACTCCATTTTCTTGAGGAGTCCCATGGTTTGTGCATTGTGCAACTATCCCACAATCTTAAAGATATCGAGCCAATCATGATGGATGTCTACCTTGCTCATCATACATGTCACAATATTCTCCTCCCTTATCAGATCTTAACACTTTAATATTTAACTCAAGTTGGTTTTCAACCCTAGTTTTAAACACTTTGAAGACTCCAAATGTGTTGGATTTGGTTGGGATTAGGTAGAGATAGCAAAATCTTGAGAAATCATCAATGAAAGTACCTATGTCCCTGAGTTTAAATTGGAAATGGGCCACAAATGTCAGTATGAATTATCTCTAGGAGTTGTTGATTGCGTGTGGATCCTAGTTTCTTTGAGTTAGTCATTTTTCCCTTAATGCACTTAACACACTCGCTGAAGTCTGAAAAATCCAAGGAATGAAGAATTTCTTCTTGGATCAGTGTTTTCATTCTTTTCTTAGACACATGCCCTAATCTTTTTTGTCATAGTTTTACAGACTTCTCATTATCTAGTGATCATTTTTGGCCTATGGATTCAATGGTAAAAGCAACATTGTTACTAGTAAGGTTCTAGCAAAACAAACCATCAATCAAAGCGTCATTGCCCATTGAACTTTTATTGAATATAAAATCAAATCCTACTTAAGAGAAAACAAAACTGAAAAGTTCCCTAGTTAATCTAGAAATAAAAATCAAACTCCTTCTCATAAAAGTACATAAGAAACATCTTTTAAAATTAAAGGAAAACCTGAAACTAATTGAAGCCTAAGTGAGCCTATTGCTTGAACTGGTACTCTCATTCCCCACGAACAAATGGTCTTGGTCTCCACTTGCTTTCTTCTGGCTTACGAAGTCCTACAAGGAATTGGCAATGTGGATTGATAATCCAGTGTCAATCCACCATGTGTTAGCAAGAACTATGACATTGCTAGACTCAAAACAAATGAGGACAGAATTAGACTCACCCAAAGTTCCTTTTTTCTCTACCCAACGCTTGTACCTAGTGTAGTCTCTCTTCATATGACCTGCCTTGTCATAGAAGTAACACTTAAAGATAGTAGTTTTGTTTGCATTTAAAGTGCTAGACCTTTTAGGAGGAGGGAGTTCTCTTTGTTAGCAGCAGTATGCAAGCTTGGTTTAGAGAAGTGACATTTAGGAGCATTGGTGCTGAGGTGAACGGTGTTAACCTTTTTTTCCTTCTTGTCCGAGCTTCATCTTGAACACAAACTGTTATGAGCTCATGAGAACTTGTCCTTTTGAGCATTATAAATCACCTTGAGTTGTCCATATGGTGAAGGAAGGGAGTTCAAAGCAAGGTGAACCATAAAAGGATCGGCTATGGGAATGTCAAGAGCCTTCAGTTTGCTGGCTGTCTCTATCGGGCTTTTATCCGCCACCACTCGCTCTCTCCCTCTCCGTCTCCCTCCTTATCTATCTGCTAGACAATTGAGATGCTCTTGTTCAAGGCATTCTGGTCACTTCGCAAATCTAGAAAAGAATTGAAGAGAGATATAATTTGGGAATTGCTCACTGAAAATTTAAAAAACAGATGAAGCGCTGAAGAAAACTTGGCAAACAAATGATAATGGGGTAAGAGTTAAATTACCCCATTTTCGTGTGTTTCGGTAATTCATATGATGCAATAGAATTACCACTTCAAATGCCATGGATGTTCTTTCTTTCTTTATGTTGCGGCCTTTCTGTATAATGTTTCGTTAATTTAAAATTGTTCATCTCTGAAACGTATGAACAAGAGATCATTTTCATCTACCTATGACCTAAAAAAACCAACCAAAGCAAAAACAACATGGTTTATTAATCCAAACGTCTGAAGCTACATTGCACTGCTACAGGAGCACAATCACTCGTACCAGGATTTGTTCATACTATAGTTGCACAATCACTTGGTTTTTACAGCAAAGAATCCTCAAGGGAAAATGTCTACAAATTTATCACTGGCCCACCCTCGTTCCAGCTGCGAGAGGTTGAACAGCAGCTAAAGGATTCACCTGGTATGAAAATGCAAGCTGCCATAAGTCTACCAGAGCATTCTTCATTGACAAAGCTTGTCTCTGAACAATTCTGCGACAAAGAAATACATTTTTACAAAATTTCTGTGTTAATGTAAAATGCTCAGGGGAAAGAAAAAACACAAATTATTTAAATGAAACATAATTTAACCAAAAAATGGGTAAAGTCTATGAGAGTGCATTCTCCATTTAGGTAAACTGAAAAACAAAGATGAAGATGCAACATATATATCTGGTAAACAATTGTCCTTAGGGGAAATCAAATTCAAAGAGGTCCTAAATATTAACACATTTTCAGTATTATCCTATTGGTTTCAATAAGGCTATTGATTAAGTTCATGCAACAGATCCATTTTACCAGAAGAGGCTATTGATTAATTTCATACAACAGGTCCATATTACCAAAATAAGGCTATTGATTAATTTAATGCAAGCAAGTGTTTCACACCATATAGAAAGCGAACCCATCTCCAGATAACAACTATTTAAATGATGAATATGAGTTAATGGAGCAGATATCACGTCCATGGATATTGAATGCATGCATGTTGACTATGAAGAGAGAATATCTCACCTCTTCAAGGTAGCTTGTTTTCTCCGGAAAACATAATATATGAGCAGAATCAAGAAGCCCAGGACAATCCTTCCATTAGATATTACCACCCGAGAACTACCAAATTTCAGAGTGATGGTACGGAACCACCAGACACATGCTTCCAATCTTTTAGATGAATTAAAAACTGCTGGCTTCTTAGCAGTCTCTCCATTTGGAGGGTATTTGGTTTTTGGATATCCATCCAGCACAGCTATCTGCTTCAAACATTTTGAATGAGCTTCATTCGCCAGCAAAGATGAGAAGGATCCTTGTGATGAGTTAGTGGCTTTAACAGAATGCAGTGAGTGTATCTCAGAAGTACCTAGGAAAAGACATGGAAGAAACTGAAGTGTAATGATTTCTTTTAACTTACGAATTCAATCAACTGAATATACCATTGTAAACTAAGTTAATTTCAAACAACTCAGCAATATGTCAATAATTAGAAAAAGAAAGAAGTTAAAGGACAGTCTCATATCACATGGGAAGAAAATTTCTTCAATAAGTGAGTGAGCCATAATTATTGTAGTCAATAAGGAGTACTACTCACCGTGCAAAAGGCAAAAACATAGTAACTCCCATAAATAGGCTAATATAAAAAGTGAAAGGTCTTGCATTATTTGGAAAGTTTCCAGTTCTCAAAAAAATTTAAAACCATATGATCTTTTTGCTTTGTCAAAAAAAAAAAAGAACAAATGTCACTCAATTACTGCATATGATTAGCACCAGGAAATGTGTTAAGAGATTCAATCAATGATAGCTTAGGTTTGGACCACTGAATGTATTGCAACATCCAGTGGCGTCGCTACTTAACAATCAAACAAGAATAGGATATGTAACATGATTTCAACTTGTTATAAAAACACGCTCAATTTCAGGTATTAAGTTCAACCAGAAAATGTCTTGGGTACTTGCGTCTAAAGACCCTTTCAGCAGGCGGAAAAGGAGTTGCCCTTCTAACATTGTAGAGATATTATCTTCTGAATCACAGTCACATCAGATGTAGACAACAGAGTTTTGCTAGCATGAGACTGCTATTTGTAGTACCATACCATATAGTAAACCTCACTTACACGTCAGAAAGATAATCTAAACCCCACAGCAAGTTTTTTCCATCCAATTTCACAAAGAAAGGTCTTCTAGAAAAAACAAAACAGAAAGCAAAAAAAGTTGTGTAAAGACATAGAGTGAACTTAACCAATATTACCACTTCAATCTATTCTCATGGTACAGAATCAAACATATGATGCATAGATTACTTACCTGTCTTCTGTCCTCAGGTAATTTAGCATTCTCGACCCAAGAGGATGCAAGGTCAACATCATTCAAATTGGTTCCCAGAAGTTTCAAAACATAGACCTCAACAACTTCTAGATACTTATCAACTCCCAAAAGAAAAGGCCCATCACATTTTTCTGCATCATCTGCATTTTCTCCTGTACCAACAAGAACATATTGTTCATTGACAAAACTCCACCTGCTAAGGAACTCTTCCAGAAATTCGTGAATACCATGAGAATACCCTTCTGATATATAAAAGCATGCCCTGAAAAACAAATTCAGACAGAAATTTTGAAAACCACAATTTCCATTGATGCTTTTACCATATTCTTAATGTGAATAAGGGATTTTTTTTTTTTTTTTTTTTTTAAAATTTTGGCTCAAACTTAAAGCTGATTTTAGCAAATATCTACAAATTTGGTGATCTTTTAGGCTGCATGAAAACAAGAAGACTTTTCAACCAATTAACTTTCGCACTTTTATGTGTTCTTTTATAGGATGAGTACATAAGCCAACCAACGGAACTCTTCAATCTACTAGATTTTTTCTACTTACATATTGAATAGAAAACAATGGAAACCTCATTCAGTAAAAGAATGGAGAACTTTTCAGATTAGTTTCTTAAAGTTTTGTTGGCCTCCTTTTCAATTAAAAATATGTCATGTGAGGACTTCAAGGACTTTCAGAACCAATAAACACTTTTGGACAGTCTAAACATTTCCCTAAACATGAGCAGTCTAAGTCCAGCGAAGATTATTTTAACTCAGGTAGAATTTGACAATTGATATGAATAGTTGAGAGTTTAGAATCAAACAATATGAAATGGACAAACCTTCCAAATAGGCATATTAAATACTTGTCAAGCAAAGAATCCGAACAAGGATAACCTCAGCTGGAGATAAGAGTACCCAGTGAGAAGAAGTTGAACAGGGATAGTAGGAACAGAGGCAAATAATAGTTTGAGCTCGTTCAGAATTTCTGATGTCCTGCATTAACCCAAATAAAGTCACATCCATGATAAATAAAATGACAAAGAATCTAGAGTTGGGTAAAACAGCTGGATGAATGTATGTATTCCAAAGAACACATTACTTTTGAACCACATATGAAGCCTACTAAATAATTAACTTTCATGGAAATTTATAAAAATCTCAGGCACAGTAATTTACATAAATCCCACAAAAATTGAAGCTGCAATTTCAAGAATATATAAACATACCTTCCAAGTTGTTTGAAGGATTGGACAAGTACCATACCAGCAGATTCCAACATGTCATACAATTCAAAAGGTTTCCGGCTTCAAGGTCTTCACTATGCTTAGAAAGCCGCTTCAGAATGGAGGAGGCTGATGAGGCTGCCTCCTCATACAATGAGCAAAAAAGGTAGCTGGATATAATCACAAGAAACAAAACAAATTGGAGACAGAAAGGTAGATGATACAGTTGCATGAAATGGGTAATGAATTTAAAGCATAATTGACCTCTCAGAACGCTCAATTTCTTCTTCCCAGATTGCAGCAGGGCCGGAGCCTTTGGAACTCATCATTTTCATTTCACAGTCTTGCTAAAGCCAACGGTGCACAAATCGGAATCGGAGTGGTAACTAAAAAGCCCTTTCATGCCAAGGGTAGTTTCGGAATTTTGATCAATGTTGTTTAAATAAACTCTATTGAGAATTTTGATCAATGTAGTTTCGGAATCATGCCAAGGGTATTCAATTGAGATTTTAATAGATTTTAATTGCATGATTTTAATGTAATGGATTTCAGGCGGATTTGTAATTATATGATTTTACTCATGATTTTAATAGATTGTAATTACATGATTTTACTTATGATTTTAATTCACTTAGGATTTTACTTATGATTTTAATAGATTGCAATTACATGATTTTGCTTATATTTCTATACAAGCTTGAACTCTATCACCCATCATCATTCATCTAAATACATAACCTGAAGGAATATATCCAATTTTTAGGATACAGATACCCAATTTTCAGGGTTAATACAAAGATGGAGGCACAATAACCATCAAAGGTTAGTCTAGGGAGAGTACACCGACATCAACAATGTCCCAACATAGCCACACATTGCCAGAATGAATACGTTAAAGAAACACAACACAATTGAGAAACCAACAATAGAAATACAAAAGCTTAAGCAGAGGCTAGAAGCTACATCCAAAACCACCAACACCTAATGCAAAACAGATAGCACCAGAAATACAAATAACGAAACATACTGAAAACTCCTAGCCCAACCCGATGACTACTCCTAGTTTTTGTCAAAGCATGGACCAAAACTGTGGAGTGAAAAAAACACCTTGCACCTTATCAACGTTTCTTCTAGATTGTGGGTAAGGCTTCTTCTTTCTTTTTTTGTTTTGTCCTAGTCCCAAACGTTTTGGGACAGGGAATTAGAAAAAATATTTAGCCATGTACGCTGTATGTGCAGCAGCTACGCATAAAGGCCATCAAATATAATTTTGCTCCAAATAAGCTTGTCTACAAGGAAAGAAGAGCTATTGGAAAATGCCCATTAGCTCCAGAAAAGGCAATATCGTCTTTCTTGTTAATGTTTCTTTATCGTCTCTCTTATGAAAAGTTTTTTTTTTATGTACAGTCGAAAGCATACAAAAATAGTGGGAAAAAAAAGTATGAGAGCGTATATGAGAATCATGCATAGGAAGATGAGATTTGTTATGTGATTTGGTATTTATATTACACACTCAAAAGTCTCACACAATACATTATTTAATGAAATACCTCAAAATCAGTAAGTTTTTAAATACCACGGTACTTTTTCTTATCATTTAAAAGTCCTAATTGAATATCACCGGACTTGTATTGATTATTTAAAAATCCTAATTGAATACCACCAGATTTTTATTGATTACTTAAAAGTCCTAATTGAATACCGATGTACTTTTAAGCTTCAAAATAATCCATTAAAATCAAAATTGAATACACCCCCTAAATAAAACCCCATATCCTCCTAGACTAGACCCCTTCATTTTCTCTCTCCTTCCCTCTCGTAGGCCCCGACCCTCTCTCTCTCTCTCTCTCTCTCTCTCTCTACAGCCGCGACGTTTCCACTTCTCGGCTAGAAATTGGCCCCCTCCTGCCACCATTTCAGACGGTTTTTGCCGGAAATTCTTCTGCTCCTCCTCCTAATCACCCCATCTCCAGCCCATACAACAGCCGGAAAATTTTCATAAAGGCTAGAATAAGCGGATCGAATGGCTCTGTGGAGAGCTCGAGCGGTTTCTTCGACCTTGGTCAATAGGCTCCTCGGCGGCCACTTCAACGCCATCAGCAGCACCACCATTGCCTGTCGCACTCTCTCCACCGGTATTTCGTCATATTTCCTCATTACATCTTCCTTAACCAGAAAAACAACTCCTTGTGTTCTTTTTGTTTATCGTACAGTTGGAAAAATCATGTGCAGCTCAATTTAAATTAGCTGAGTGGAGCTGTTAAAATTCGTCAGTATATAATGTTGCTTTTGCTTTGAACACATTGAGGACAAGATTTAAGCCAAAATGCCGTTTGATTGCTCTGAAATGTAGGAGCAAATAAAAATGAGGATTTTAATTTTCACTATTTCTTTTTTGGGGAAATATGAGGGGGCAAAAACTCTAATTCTTTTGTCCATTGCTGCTGTATTAAGCTTACCAAAAGATGGTTTTTATGCCCGAATGAATATAGGAGCACCCAATTTGAAAGTGGTGCTGTTGCTTGGTTTTCTACAAAGTGGATATGTCTGCTGACTTGAGTTAATTTGACCAAGAGGAGATTATAAATGAATTGTTGAACTAAGCTGTATTTTCATGACATTGTTGCTGCCAAAATGAATCTTACTGATATTGTTACACTTTCCACAGATGTAGGTGGGGCAAGTAATCAGTTGTTTCACTATGATATCAATTCACAATATGGAAGGTGCATGCCGCTTGCCGATATGCACATTCAAGCCAAAATACACAGCATCGAGATGCACCCAGGTCAAGGTGGCAAGTTAGTTCGAGCACCAGGCACTTATGCAAAGATTTTGAAAGAACCCACTTCAAGGTGTCTAGTGAGACTGCCTTCGGGTGTTGAAAAGTGGATTGATTCTAAGTGCCGGGCCACGATTGGTACGGTCCCCAGTGAAGGAAATAAGCCGAAGAAGCTCTACAAGGCTGGGCAAAACCGGTGGTTAGGCCGCAGACCGACAGTTCGAGGAGTGGCAATGAATCCAGTAGATCATCCTCATGGTGGAGGCGAGGGTAAGAGCAAGAGTAGTGGTTCTCACGGAAAGGGTTCTCGAACACCTTGGGGCAAGCCTACAAAGGGTGGGTACAAGACTGGTCCCAACAAGCGTAGAAAATAGTGTTCTATCATTCTCTTTGTTTTGACACTGCTGTGGAGTTTGGCTTTTTGATGAGTTCGGATAGCAATAAAAGTCACACTTAGATGTTACTCGTCATAAAATATTCAAGGTTCGTATAAATTTTTCCTGTGTCAAGTTTCTGAAAGTGTTTGTTGTTGGATGAAGCTGTGTAAGTTGCTTATTAGTTGTTTCAACTGTGTGTAAGTTGCTTATTACTTGTTTCAACTGTGACTATCTTTTGGATACATGCATTTATTACCTTAAGTATTTGGTATCAAGTATGTTTAGTGTTGATTGACTGAATCAATTTGAGCTTGCATTTGCTACAATTTACCAATGTACTGAGTTGATCATGGACATGACATTCGTAGTTCTTTCCCTTGTGTCTGTTTTTGCAAAATCTTTTTCTGTATAACATAGGAAATTGATGATAAAATTGGATGTTGATGTTCAACATGCTATTTTATTTTGTTTTATTTTTATGTTTTGAACTTTCTAAGATGCATAAATCTTGTCGTCAGAGATATCACAGATGTTTAGTTTAGTTTTTAATGTAGGCTAATGACGACTTGCTTTGAGAAGTATTAGGCACGAATGCATCAAGATATGTGATGTGTTTGGAAATCATTGGCCTTTTTTGAATTTTTTGAGGGGTTGTAGTGAGGGACTCTTGTGATGAGAAACTCTTTAACTTGAGCAATTAGAATGAAAATACACCTCATTTAATCACGCATGGTGAAAGTTTACTTGTGTCTCTACAGTAATGTTTCCTAAGTCGTCAAAATGCAGTGTGTGGGCGAGCACACGTGCCTGCCTACCCACACTGAGTAGATTATATACAGAGTTGTTAGAGGAGGAGCTCTCCTGCAGCAAGAGTTTTTTCGCAAAACATAATAAACTCCCCCTTTTTGCCAATGCTCACCCATGAAGAGACTTGAAATTATGCTTCATAACAGCAAATTGGATATCATCTTTGTCTAGTCAAATAAGGTTTAATTCACTTGATCTTCCTTATTTTTATAGATAAATTGACATTTGAATGGTGGTTGTTTGAAATTTAAAAATGGGATTTGAGAACAGAGCAGCCAATCAACAATCAAATTCATCTTAATAATAAGTAATCAGAATTAGGCACTACATTTAAAAAGAATTAGGCACTAAAATATTGCTGAATCTTAGCCTTATACATTCGCTGGTTGATCTTGTTGTAAAA